GCCACCGCCAGCCCCAATGCGAGCCCCGGCGAGGACCCCCTCCGCAGCCTCGGGAGCGGCGAGATCGGGGGCGGGAGCGTCGCGTTCCCCCGCGGCCCGTCGCCCACGTCCGCGACGTCGCTGAAGGTATCACAGCCAGGGGTGCCGAGGGTCCTCGCCCGCGAAGTCCTCGCCGCGATGAACGCGTTGCTGAACGTGGAGGGCGCGCGGGAGGTGGTGCGGTGGGGCTGCTTTCGCGTTTTCGCTGGAGGGGAGGGCCGGGGGTACATCCACAAGGCGATTCTTGACGAGATTCAAAAACGCCACCGCGTGGAGTGCACCGGGCCGAACGCAATCTATACCATTTCCATGATTAAAGCCCTCAACGACGCGTTCGACATCATGGCGCTTGAGGAGGAGCAAGAGTACGCTACGAAGGTGAACACCGGGAAACGAAAGAAAAAAAAGCGAAACGCATCGAGTAAACTCCCTGCCCCGCCGTCGAACCAAAATTCAATTATTCCGCTTTCCATTAGGCGCCGTTCGCACATCGATTACACAACCTTCTGCCGTTATTTTGATAAGCTTCCGCAGCTCAGCGCGGCTTTTATGCATGTGTGGCTTCCCCTTTTATTTACTGACCGCTTAGGGGAGCCGAATCATGATACTTCCGACTTGTCTGACAACGAGGACGGAAAGGAGGAGGCGGAAGCCCTTTTTGTGGAGAACTCCCAGAGACTGCGAGACGAGCAGGCGAAAAAGAATTCATTGAGGTTTCCTGGAGATCAAGAGGAAAGGTTGGGCTCTACAGGAGAGTCCCCCTTGGACGCTGAGGTGGAGGAACCCAACTCGGAGAAAGACGACGTCGTGGGGAGTGCGGAAGAGAACATCTCGGAAGAGCTGAATGACCCGCTGCACGGAACGTTCCATGAGCCTTTATGGGAAACTAAGGAATACCCACTTCAGTTGCTTGGGGCCAACCTGGAAATTCGTCATGCTACCTTAAAACGGCTTGTTTATAAAGAGTTGGATTTATTCCAAAAGGCTGTTGATATACTTGGAAATTATGAAGTACCACTTTAAATGACGAATAATAAAAAAGGAATCGCTCTTTGAACGATATTAGAAGGGAATAATCTTTTAAAATCCCATCATGAACTGTATTATTTTTATGATGCGTATTATTTCTTTAGGATATAGATCTCAATTTCATGTTTTTATATTAATTAGAATGAGAATAAATAAAGTTGTTTTGATTACTTTTGTGCACTTTTACCTTTTTTGATGTTTTTGCATTTTATGCACATATTATCAAAATGTTTAAGTTCTACTTTTTCTCAATTTTTAGGTATTTTTCGCGTTTACTGTGTTTTGAATCAACTACTTCAATGTAAAACAAACCAATGTTGTTCGTTTTTCACTTTAAATAACTAAGTCCTGTATTTTGTTTTATATGGACTAATATTTTAAGCATATATTAACGCTACAGCAGTGAGTATTTTATCGGATGTACAAAAATTTGTGAAAGCATTGCACTTAAAACTAAATGATCAAAGCGGTTCTTTTTCAAGCTTTCCCTTTTATGATTGATATATTTGTAAACAGCTTGATTTTATCCTGTCATTATATACTTTCGCTCCATTATGTTTTTAAAATATCTCATCCGAAAGGGAGTGAATGTAAGGTCTCTGTTGAATAGACTTTACGGTAACATTCAAAGGAATTTATGCCATCCCACACATTCACAGAATACAACAGTTGTTACGTTTTGGACAAGACCACTATAGACACTTAGTTTATAAACAAACATCTATAAATCAAAAGTAGAAAATGCGAAACAAGACTAAAAAAACTACTGATTCAAGAAACCTCAATGCTTCAAAAAATACGGTTAGCTCTATCGAAGGGAGCTTGCATACCGCGATTTATTCTCCCATCCAGAACACTTCACTTGAGGTGCATACACTCTCTCCGATAGCTTCTCAGCAGGCGAGTGTCAGTGGCGATGAGAGCAAAGCTAGAAATAGCTCCACCTCAGCTTCTTGCTTTTCATGGGAGAATAAGCAGCATCCATCGCGCTCGATTTCACCTCCCCAACGCCGTAGTGCGAAGGTTTCACCCACTCGAAAAGTATCTCTTCCGAAGACTAAGACCAGCATTCACACATCTCTTTCCGAAAACAACAAGACAACCGAATTTACGATGGAGTTATATCGTGAGCTCCATGGACGACATTTCCATAGCGTTCATGAGGAACTTACCTTTCTGCGAAACGATTTTGTGTCTTCTCGGAAAACACTTGCCGGATCAAATGAAGAAATACGTCGTCTCCGTCAGGCTCTGCAGGATCGCATGCGCGAATTTCGCAATTTAAAAGACAAATTAGACTGGTTTGAACTCCGCTATGGCAATTATCACGATCTTCTCCTTCGCGAGAATGCGACTCGAGGCGCGAAGGAACCCCCTTTTTCCGATGACCCCGACAGAATAAATCCCCATTCCACTAAAAGTGCGCCCCCCAATCCCGACGAATCGGCTGAAAGCCCTCTGACCTCCACAAAGGTCGCGCTCTACGCCGCGACCTCGAAACTTGCCAAAAAGACAACCCCCACCACCCTTAACGATCTCAACACCGTTGAACTCATTAACGAGTTGCGGTGCAATTTAGCACGGCGGGATACCGCCCTCGAGCAGTGCCGTCTCGAGCTCGGCGCGATGCGGCAGGCCAAAACCCAGCTCGAATCCACCGCAACAGCGCAGAACACCAAAATGGACGCCGTCGAGACGGAAAGGCGGGAATTGCGAGGGGCGTTGGAGCGAACTGAGGATGAAAAGGCTAAGGTGGAGGCGGCATTGGCGGCCGCCCGCACGACCCTCGAATCGCGCGAGAAAGACCTCGCCGAACTTCGCCGCCAGGTCGACCTGGCGGCGATCCTACACGGCCCTTCCCCTATGGAAATAGGCCCACCTTCCATAGGAATATCCCCAGGAATGGAGGCGGCTATCGGGATAAAAGAAGTTCACAGACCCTTTGGAAATTATCATGCAAATTACCAGCCCGGGGAGGGAGAACGGAGAAGAAGAGAGGAAGAGGAGGACAACCTACGCGAGGCGATTCATCGCCTTCAGCGCCAACTCTCCCGGGAGCGGGAGGAAGCCCAACGCGAGCTCTCGGCCCTTCGCGGGGAACTTCAGACGGCCCAAACCCACCTCGAGGGCTTTCGCAGTCAGCGCACGGCCATGCTTGAGCAATTTCGCGGATTCACGCAAAGCGAGCAGATGGAGGTGGCGCTACGGGGGCAGAACGAGGCCCTCCGCCAGCGCCAGCGCGAGCTCACGGCGGAGGTCGCCGAGGCCGGCGCGATGATCCGGCAATTCGAGGCTGATTTACACCGCCAAACCGCCGAGAGCTTGCAGCTCCA